AACAATTAAAGCAGGTTTGATATACAAAAACAAAAGGAGCAAAGATTTGGCTGCGAGAGTTTTCATCTCAGGCCAAATTGTGCTTTTCTCTTCCTTGGAAAGCTATGTGGAAATCAAAGAAATGCAAAAGTTAAAACTACATAGACACAGAATGACCAGTTAGAAGCACACTGGATTTCCACCTTTGGAAATTCCTCTGGACAAGGTGACATGAAACATTACAGGTTATTTGACAAAGGAAGATGGGAGGGAGGAAGCTGTGAAAGGAAGGCCCAGTTATTTTAATTATCCTTGCTTTGTGGAGATGTACCACTCCTAGGTAAATTATTAATACCTAACCTAACAGGTTTGGACAAATGGCTATGTGGGTCAGCTTCTTGCTCAGGCCTTGATGTTGTCATGGGGAATGGATAGACAGTCTCCAAAGAGACATGGGCCTACCAATGCATTATTCTTGAACCTGGCTTTTGACTGGCTGGGGAAGATTTTGATAATTAATGCCGTTGTAATTAAGATTTTTTTGTCACAAAAATAGTTCTTTCTTATTTTGCTCACCTGCGTGCCTGGGGAGGTTTATTTTTAGCAATTCACTTTCTACCCCCCCATTTGCATTTCATTCTCTCTAACATCGACTGCTCTACCTTGTTAATTATGAAAAAAAATATTTGGACAATCCACTTTGCTGTCAAATATTAGCTTGACAGCCAAGACCTGCAATGGAGGTGGGGGTAGGAGAGGGAGGAAAACCCAAACAAAACCTTGTCGTGTTGGTTTAGCTTTTCAAGAGACAGTGCTTTTGCAATGATCCCGGCTGCACGTGATTAAGAATCATATTCTTCACTAGCTGAACTAACTTTAAGGAAAATGATTAAAATAAAATCATTTCTAACAATTATGAGCATACTCTCTCTCTCTCTCTCTCTCTCTCTCTCTCTCTCTCTCTCTCTCTCTCTCTCTCTCCAGTGGGGAAAGTAACTATTGCTGTTGGCTTGTCTGGAACTAGAGTGGGAGAAAATACCCTGGTGGGTCAAATCTTTGCCCTCAGCATCTTAAAAAAAAAAGGTATTTACTTGTTTCTTTTCACTTCATTTGGAGTCATTAGAAGCCTGACTCTGAAAGATCCTTGGTTGAACCTTCTCCACCATATCACTTCAATATAAGGATTTTTAACCCGAGGTCCATGAACTTGTTCTTGCAAATATTTGGATAACTGAATTTCTATATGATTGGCTTCCATTGCAATCCTCTGTATTTTATTTAACACATTTAAAACCATTTTTTGAGAAGAGGTCTAGAAATGGGCTTTGCCAAACATGATGCACACAGAAGTTAAGAACCCTTGTTTTAATGTCACCATCACCCTCATTCACTTTCCTATTCCTTCTTCCACCATCTATGACCTGGTCTTTCTTCTATTGGTCTACACAAGTGCATGGTTGCTTGACATGGTCTTAAAGGTTTCTCTTTTTCCTTGAGAGTTTAGTTTACTTGAAGAGGGCTGCTTCCCTTTCTCCAAGAGTTCATGTGATTATCAATTTAGAGGTTGAGTGAATCTTAGGAGCCATCTAATCCAATCCCTTCATTTAACAGGTAGGGAAACCGAGGTTCAGAGAGACAGAGTAATTTAGCCAAGGTCACGCAGTAAATGGCAAACCCAGAGAAGTATGCTCCTTCTCTGTTCTTTTTGTCTACAAACCTTCGGGTGACTGAACCAATGCAGGCAGTCAGTGGGTCTCAGTGTTATCCCCAGGGTATGGTGAATTAGAGTGATTGCCCAAGGTATGATTTAATAGATAGAACATTCTTTAAAAAATAGATTCTGGTCTCAGTTTTGCCCCTAACTCTTCATGTGACTTTACGTAAGTCCCTTCCTCTCTCTGACCTGGTTTTCCTTATCTATCAAATGAGGGGGTTGGACAAGTCAATTTCTAAGGTGCCCTCTGGTTCCAACATTCCATCAGACATTTCAATGAATCTCTTCTACCATGGGTCCTCCAGCTACCCTTTCACAGACACTAGCCAGGACTAAAAGATAAATAAATCAATAAAAGAAAGAAACAAAAAACTCCAAAGTGTTCATGTACAGTATTATTGATACAGATAGGGCCAGTTATGGCTACTGTAAGAAAGAGTAGTTCCTTTAAGATTCCCCTTGATATTCATTCAAACTGTGTTTCACAAGTATATGAGTACTAAGGAGATGGAGGGGAAGGGCACATAATTTGATTTTTCTCAGGTCCTGTACCCTCCTGGGGTTAGCTATTTGGGAGTGTCCTCAGAATGAAAGAATTGTTTCTCTGTGGATTCTTCACATCAAGAAGAAACTTTGGGAAAGTGGATCTCTTCATGGAGTCTTCCATAAGAGCCTGAGTTCCCTTTGTAGCCATTAGAGGGATTTCTTTCACATAACAGCTGCCCTTGTACTCACTACATCTCCTGCTGGAGATGGGAAGGATAAGAATCTTTGTTATAGCTAATAAAACCCCTTTTTCTGGGGCCGCCCTGCTATCTAAAACAACCAGACAATAACCCCTTCCTCAGGCCTTCTGGGATAACTCTCAGGATTCAGTGGAAGGGTCAATAAATCAAGGGCTGGTGACCAATCGTCCCTTATATGTGGATCAGCCATAGATGTATTCCCCATTTAGCCTGCTCACCCTACTCTCACCTCACACTTCAGGAAACATTGGGTTGTCCCTCACTGGAAGTCTTTAGACAAAGGCCAGATAGGTACTTATATACTGTATATTGCAGAGGATGATTTTTGTTTGGGTATGGATTGAACCATGAAGTAACATGGTAGAATGGGTAGAGAGTTGGCTTTGGGAGCCAGGAAGACCTGAGTTCTACTCCTGCCACTGTACACACTAACTGTGTGACCTTGGGCAAGTCACTTAACCTCTTACTGCTCAAAGTAGCTAACTTTCCAAGACTAATAGTTGTAGAGAAGGTGTCAACCTGCATGTATAGTTGTCTTATTGAATAATTGTCCACATAAATGAAATCACAGGTCCAGTTCCTATCCAGAGCACCCCTGGCATGAAATAGATGGCCACTGAGACTCTATGATCCATGTCTATTTTCCAAATCAGCTTGGACTATTTCAGATTTTAATCTGCTTACAATCTATTCTGAAGCAATCGAACATTAGATCAGAATTGGAAATGGTACCTTCAGCCAAAGGTGTCACCCTGCAAAGAAAGCTGGAGAGACTAGTTTTTTTTCCCATTTTAAAAAAAACTGGATTTAGTTAGCATTTCCCACTGGAAATTAATTTCTTTTCAGGGAGGGAGGCATGACTTCTAGGACATCATCTAATCACTTCCAGGTGGAAGAGGGGAAAGAATGAGGAGCTTGGGGTCAGGAAGACCTGAGTTAAAATCCTACCTCAAAGACTTACTAGCTCTGTGATCCTGAGTATCATTAACCTCTCTATGCCTCAGTTTACTTGTAAGTAAAATGAGTATAGTAATAGATAATAACCCTCACAGGGCTGTTGTGAAAAGTAAATGAGATAATATATACAGAGCTTTGTAAACTTTAAAGCATTGTATGATAGCTGTTGTTGTTATTGTTCTTATTATTATTATAAAAATATTATTATATCAAGATTGATGATACTTCTTCCCCTCCTTGCCATTAAAAAAAGTGGAGAATGCCCAGTCCCAGTGGATATAAGTCACTGAATAAAAATTGGGTAATACCTGTTCAACATTTCTAGAAAAGGTAGTACCTTCAGTCCATAAATCTCCATATTTAAAGAGCCTTCTTGGGGCTTGGTTTGGAAGGAATTTGAGATAGACATGCCATATGCTACTGAATGCAGCCTATTCTGCCTTTGGGGACCGACCACAGAGAGTGAAAGAACAGGCAAATGCCTCTTTGAGTGAGACAGAATAAGGATAGTGACTGGACCTGTGATGAAGAAATGAAATGATGAAATTCCCACCACCAACGCAGGCCAGCATCTTCTCAGCCACTCATATTCTTAGAGAGTTGCCAGACCACTAAGAGGTTAAGTGACTTGCCCAGGGTCACCTTGCCAATATGTGTTAGAGTAGAGACTTGAACCAGATCTTCTATTAGACTGTGAACTCCTTTATCAAGCTGTCAGATCTTTGAGAGCCAGGACTGTCTTTTGCCTTTCTTTCTTTGTATCTCCAGAGCTTAGCACAGTGCCTGGCGCATAGTAGGCATTTAATGAATGCTAGATAACCTGACTTGACTTCTTGCTCTAGAACCAGTCTTCCTTGCTCTATGTCATACCTGACTTTTTTGCTCTAAGACCAGTCATCCATGCTCTATGTCATGTTGCTTCTCTTGAGTAAAATAATCAAAGCAAATCTGCCTGGCAATGATCTAAGGCCAGGATGAATGAAGATATCTCAATTTAACTTTTTTTTCCCCTTTGATGCCAGAATCTTATGACTTCATCTATCTGGATGATAAATAGAAAAGGTGTCAGATGTCATTACGATTTGACATCCTGACTGGATCCTGGTTATCGTAATGCCCAGTAAATCCCACTGGCCAGCAAGATCCTCCTATCAGGAAATAAAATTGCCTCATTTTGAGCTCCCTCTAGCTGAAGGAGGACTATCGGATGCTCTTGCCTCCTCCCCTCCCCACCCCCACCCCTACCTCCCATTTTTTGTGTATTGAATTTGACCCTCCCAGATCAGACTCATCTTCACCAGCACTGTTCTTAAGTCAGGAGGCCATGAAAATTAATTTAGGTCACTTCTTGGGGAGGGAAGCAGGAAGAGGTGGGGGGAAGGGAGAGAAAACAGGGAGAGTGGTGGTCCGGGCTGATGTGAATGGCAGATTCGCCAACTGAGCAAACAATATTTATTTCCAAGTCTCTTTGTACCAGTGTGTGAAACATAAACACATTTGAGCAAAGTTGTTAAGTGGAACAGTTTCCTTAGGAGATGGGGAAGGAAGCGAGGTTGAGGGGTGGGGGTTGGTAGGCGAGGAAAAGCAGAGGAAATATTACTTACGCCGTTTGCAGCCACATTTTTTTATCCTTTTGGGATCTGTGATGTCATCATGACAGGCTTTGCAGTAAAAAAATGCCCTGGAGAGAGAGAATGGAAAAATTGACACATTTCTTAATCCACCCAAATGAAATGAGTCCCACATTTCCTCCTGCTATGGTGCCAAATTAATGAAACATGCCAGCACTAATTTCCTTTAATCTTTTGAAAGGTTTAGACGTTTAAAGACGGAAGTGTTTGTTGCAAGACCCTTCATTTCAAACATAAGGCTCTGCTCTTCGAGTTAGTGCTTCTTTTAATAAACTTTCATTGGAAAAGTAATTGGGGGAAAGGTTGATAATGTAACCCAGAAGATTAGCTTGCTTGTCTTTCATCTTTGAGAGCATCATGTAGGGTACCTCAGCTGAACACGTGGAAAGTGAAGGCCTAGGCATTGGCAAGCTCACCACTCAGATCTCTCGATTCCTTAGAAGCAAACTAAAGATTTAAGGAACATTAGAGATAGATGGGACAATTCCTCGCTCAAAATTTACAAAGGTGATGCTTTGAAAAAACTTTTGCTCATTAAGCAAACAGAATGGTGGTGGTGGGGAGGAAGAGCAGATGGTGTTTGAGTTGGATGGTGACTCTGTGATACGAAATCCAGCATCAACATCCAGCAGGCAAGATGGCAGCCGTATACCATGAGAACTGGAAGGGACCTTGAAGATTAACTAGTCAAATACTCTTGTTTACTGGTGAGGTCCAGAGATAGGAAGTGATTTGCCTAAGTTTACGATGCTAAGTCACTGGGTGCTTCATCCCCCCCAGAAAGGGTGCTCAATTTCAAGTCAGAAGACTTGGGTTTTAATCCAGCTCTGTCATTTTTCTCCATCTCCTTGGACGAATCACTTCAGCTTTCTAAGCCTCAGTTTCTTCATCTGTAAAATGAGGCATTTAAACTAGGTGATTTCTAAGATCCTGCATAGCTACATATTTTAAACTCCTAAATTCAAAAAAAAAAAAAGCAGTCAACCCCTACACTAAAGAACACATGTATATGCTCTCAGTGAATGTTTCACCTTGATTAAACAAGACTTGACAGGCATGCATCTACAAAAGGTCCCCAGCCTGGTTCAAAAAATCACTCATTATACGATATTCAAGCAACGAACCTAATTAATAGGATGTTCTGATGGGCTCAAATGAGGTAACACAAGGTAAGTCTACAACAATGCACAGAATAATGCCTTATGGGGACTTAGTATTAGTGGTGAGATGAAATCCATTTTATTAAATTTCTGGCACACAGGAGGCATTACGATGATAGATTTAGAGCTGGAAGAGACCATAAGAGGTCATTCAGTTCATCCTCCTCATTTTACAGGCAACAATATGATTGCTAATATTTATATATCTTTTTAATATTCGCAGTGTGCTTTATGTAGATTATATTATGATATCCTCGTAACAACCCCTGTGAGCTGTTGTTGTTGTAATTGAGTCATTTCAGTCATGCCCAACTCTCATGACCCCATTTGGGGTTTTCTTGGCAAAAATACTGGAGTGGTTTGACATTTCCTTTTGCGGCTCATTTTACAAAGGAAGAAACTGAGGCAGACGGTGTCTGAGGCCAGATTTGAACTCAGGAAGATGAGTCTACCTCACTCCAGGCCTGGCACTCTATCCACCGCACCAACTACCTGCCCTACCCTCCATTTTGCAAATAAGGAAACTGAGTCTCAGTGTTAAGTGCCTTCCTTCCCTAGATATATGAGGAAAAGAGCAGCCACCCAGGTCTTAAGTAACATATTGTGATTACATCTTTTAGTCAAGAGACAGCTTGTCACAGTGGCTAGAGAATCTGCATCAAAGGCAGGAAGACGCGCACTAAAATCCCACATCTGATACATACTGGCAGTGTGACCCTGGACGAGTCACTTAACTTTTTCAGCACTCTAGCCAGCAGTTCTCAAAGTCTACAGTTGGGGGTCCCTAACACCCTTTCATGGGATCTACATGGTCAAAACTATTTTCATAATAAAACTAAGGTTTTTAATTCTGATATGACAATAACTCTAACCCACATAAATATAAGCTTTTTAGGGGCCTTAATAATTTTTAGGAATATAAAAGGGTCCTGAAGCCAAAAGTTTGAGAAGCATGCTATAGGCAACCTTCAAAGACTGTTGATTGCAAAGAAGGTGCTAACCTGAGCTAGTAGAGGGAGTTTCCTCACCCCCAAATTCCCTACGTAAATAAAATTACAAATCCAGGCCTTGCTCTTCTTTGGGGGTCCTTTACTTTCCACTTGCTGTCTCTGCATAGATGGTGCCACGCAGGCCATTGGATGGCTATGTATCAAAGACTATTATTGAGGCTGCTTACAAATAAATGAGAAAATCCTGTGCCTTGATTATGTTAGTCATTTGTACTGGCCCAGACCAGATTTTCCCCAGGATTCTGATCATTTGAGCCCCTCCTCCCCCTATAACACTGCCTGATCTGGTCATTTGGGTTTTCCACCAGCTCCAAGTCATTCATTTATGCTGTTTTTTTCTAGTTGACAATATATACTTAATAACAAGTCATCTTAATCAAGTTTTCCGTTAAAAACCAAATAAAAAAAAAACTTGTCTAGTTCCATTCAAATCTCCTAAGTCCTTTCTGTGGTTTTCTGCCCACCTCATCTATTTGAAATCCCCTGACAGCATTTGCCCTGACACCTCCCCCACACCATGGAAAATCACAGCCTGGTCTTGTACTTATTATGTCAGCATGTATTTGTGAATACCATAAAGCACAGAAATGAGACATGTTGCACTACTGAACATAGGATGTAATTTGTTTCTTGGACCACTTTGTGCTGGTGACATTCATTAGGGAGAGATGCAACGGGAAAGGGAATTATACAAATGGGAATGGGGGAGGCAGAAGTGGTCTATATTTCTGCAGGGCTCCCTAGCCTCAGGCTCATATAGCAGAGCTGCTGTGTCAAGCTTTTCTGTCTACTAATCTGGACCCTTATGCATTCCTTCCTAATGGTGAGCTTAGAAGGGCAAGTACGTCAGTCCTATTTACCAACCCAGCTTGAATTCACTCTGTCCAATTCCCAAGGAGTTGGAGCTCTGGTAGCAAAAACACAGAAACCAATAGCAGAAGACCCTGAAGGGGAACGAGATTTGACCCTGCTTCTACATATGGGGGCAGAAAACTATCCTCAATTGATATACGCTTCTCCCTCCTCAAATTTCCCTAGAGAAGCGGTTCTCAAAGTGTAGTCCATGCATACCTGTGGGTCTGTGAGACACTATCAGGGGATCCACGATGTCAGAAGTATTTTAATAATAATATTAAGACATTATTCACCTGTTAAAATCCTCCTCCCTTTTCCAACTACACATCTGTGTGAGATTGTATTTTTTCACATACATCAACAAAAACACACATCACAACAGATTGAATATAGAAACAGACGTGAAAATCTAGTTGTCTTCTATGAAGCCAGATAAGAGATTTGCAAAAATATATAAAATGCTATTCTTCTTTTTTTTGAAAATAAATTTTTCATGAAATATGCTATTTATGTTACCATGTGTAGACTTGTTATTATTGTTTTAATGAATTCATAAATGCAGATTTTAAAATATATCAGTTTTAATTTCTAATATGGTAAATATCAATAGACATAACACACATAAAAAATCTCTTTGGGGTCTTCAGTAATTTTTAAGAGTGTAATGGGGACCTGAAATCAAAAAGTTCGAGAACCACTGCTCTTAAGTGTTTGCCTGATTCTTTCTTTTACCTGTATTACTTTTATCTTCTACCTTGTATTGTATTTTTTTGTATAATTTGAGATTGTATAATGCTTATCAAATTCCATTATTAGTCTGTAGTTTTAGGAGCATCTAGTACACAGAGTGCCAAGACTTGGAGTCAGGAGGATCTGAGTATAAATCTGATCTCACTTACTGTGTGACCCTGGGCAAGTAACAACTTCTATTTACCTCAGTTTCCCCATATGTAAAATGGGGATAATAATAGCACCTACTTCTCAGGGCTGTTGTGAGGATCACATGAAATAATATTTGTAAAGTGCTTATCATAGTGCCTAGCACCTAGTAAGTGCTTTTTAAATGTTGTTTGTGCTATTATTATTGTTAACATCAGTAGCAGAATAAATCCATGCTATCTCACTTAGGCCACCACTGCCCATGAGATGGAAATTTGGCATTTCTGTAATTAAGGTAAACATGAATTGGCCCAGGCTAGCAGTTCAAGGATTTTTTTTTAATTGACACCATGCAAAGGAAGTTCTTAAAAGTGTTAAGTCCTTTAGCATTGCACTCCTTCACCCTCCATCTCAATGGACTCCGCCCACCAAGTTTCCAGGTTTGGGGGGAGCTGTTGTGACTGATGCAGGAAAGAAGGAAAGTTAGAATAAAACATTCATTTTACCTCTTGACTTCTTTGGCATCACTTGCAATGAAGAATCCTAAAGTACCTTCTTGAATTTTGAGATGGTTTCCGGGATTAATTAATATGCTGCTCAGTGAAACACAAACAGAGAAGATAAGGTTGTGAGGAGACATTCTAAGGAGAAGTTCTGAGGTTACATCATATGGTGGCTTCTTATAGGGGGCCCACTAGAAGGGAAGGGATACAAGGATGCCTAAAGCCATCCAGGCAGACTTGATGCCAAGTCTACGGTCCCTCAGGTCCAAAATCTTCAGCATTTGATCTGATAATGCCATCAGTGAACTCTAGTCATTGGCTCCCCAATTGGCATTTCCTGGGCATCTTTTTAAAGAAACCAAAGAAAATCCAGATGCCAGAAACCTAATATGTTCAAGAAATAGTCTGCCCTGCTTACTTGGGTATGTGGGTTGAACTACTGGATAACTGATTTCCCAGGAACTTGCTACTAAAGGTCAAAGTCAAAGAGTTATCAGTCAAATGAAGCCATTCCAATGCCAATATTTACTTCTAATGACAGAGAGTTAATGGGACCCCTATATGCATACATAAATATACAAGTACGTATACCACATATTACCAAGGGGCATAGTACAAGACAACCAGTTACCAATGCATGGAAAAACACAACATCTGCATGATAATGATAAAAATATAAAAAAAATTAGATGAATATTTAGGAAAAGAATAATCACCACACTAACAAATGAATAGATCATGCGTTTGATTTGATGGGCAGAGATACTTAAGGGACCTGAGTTTGCACATAAAAGTTATGTGTTTCTTAGAATCAGACGTGAAAGGATCCATAGGTGTCTATCCCAAGGGCCTGGCCCATAATAGCTACTTAATAAATGCCTGTTGACATTCTGACTCCCATTTTCCAGGAAATAAAATTTATATCCCCTAGATTTTGTTTTTGCAAGTAAGGAGAGCATTATCCCAAATAGGAAGCCTGCTCAAAAGGGCTGTGTAAAATGTGTGTGTGTGTTTGTGTGTATTAAACAGGATAACTTGCACTTGGATGATGAGAATCAGTAAAGGAAACTCCTTTGGAATAAACAGGCATTAGGATATGTTCCCTCAAGTTTAATCACTTAGAGATCAAAAGCAGGACATGCTAATATGCCTTGGATTCAGATGGAACTAGCTAATACTTTTTTTTTTTTTTAGCTCAGAGTACAATTTAGGGAAGATACTAAATACAGCAACAGATAAAACACAGATATCCTTTGATCTGCAGATCTGTAGTTCTTAAGGTTGATGTTTAGATTTAGGTTATAGGAAGGAAGTCGTCAAATACTGAAAACAAGAGGGTGATTCATATGTGACCATTTTCTAGTGGGGGACTCTTCCATGGAAGGGTTGTAGCAATCAGAAAGTGATTTGTCTGTAATAACATAAGAGTGACCCAGGTGACCTTCTGTTCAGTTGGGAGATCTCTCAGTAGGTCATTACCACGAAATAATGGTCTTGTATCACAAGAATCTCTTAAATACCCAGAACAAGACATTGTGATAGAAGGAAACGGAACCTGTGTCATTGCTGTTATTAACACGAAATAATAGCAGATAATCCTTGAAGATTTGACTGTTCTGGCCCTGGATATACAGGTAGCAATGAAACTATTCACAAATAAGGGAAGTGTGGGTCTAAACTGATTACAGCATTACATACAGTCAGCTCACAATCATGCAGCAGTAGGTTTTCCACTTTGTGGATTAGCCATGACCTCTGCTCTTCCACTACCCTCAATGGCTGGCGGAAGGACCCAGATAGGAGAAGGGATGAATTTGCCAAAAAACAGATGAATAAGCAAGTCTCTAACTGGCTCACTGTTTATATTCCATAGCCAACAGGATCACAGGAATAGAGATTGACAGCTGGGAGAGACCTCAAAGGCCGCCTCGTCCAGTCCCTTCATTTGACAGATGAAGAAACAGAGACCCAGAAAAAAAGTGAAGTGAATTGCCCCAGATTATCTAGGCAGTGAGTACCAGAGGCAGAATTTGAACCCAAATCCTTTGACTCTAGAAGCAGTACTTTCTACTATACTATACTATCAATGAGGTTTTAATTTTTAGATGCATAATTAGTTTTTCCCTCCATAACTGTGAATTGTCAAAAGTAGGCTACATTTTCAAAAGAATTCCCAGTGAATACAGACTTATGGATAGTCAGCATTTCTTAATCTCATATCCTTGGTCATATACTACCCTCATCCTAATAGGATGAGTGGAAACAACTCATTCTCGGTATACCGATCCATCAGTCAATTGATAGGCATCTATCGAGTACCAACTAGCATACATGCCAGCTACTATAAAGAGATTCATGACTGTTTCCCCATTTGGGGCAGAAAATAGAAGTGTATGCCACAAATATGAATAATGTACATCTTTATCAAGTGCTTATTTAGTCTAAGGCAAAAAAGCCTTTTGAGTGACACACATCCAAAAGGTTAGAATAATGAAGATCAAAAGCAGAATTCTGACATTTATCAAGTGCTCGGTGAGCAGCATGTACAAACAAGCCTCTCCTATGACCTGGAGTGTCTCTTTTCCCCACATTATCTGCTTCACTTGTGTATATGTGTATCCCAATAATTGAGCCCATGGTGTCATCGGATGAAATAGGAAGAAATAAACTTCCCACAAGTGAAAAATCTTTTTCTTTCTCTCTGTTCTTATCCCTATGGTGAAGAGCATCTAACCATGCAGTGAAAGGTTGGGCTCAGCATTCTAACAACTGCCAAGTACATCATTTACTGTGGAGCTTTTCCTTTACGTCCATTAAAGTCAAACTAGAGAGTGAGGTCATTAAAATGATTAAGGTCTGGAAGCATATGATCTCTGATGATGTCATTGGTAACTATTGCTCCTTTTAGCCCTTGGGACTAACTAATGAGCTACCCAGGAGGTAACCAATTTTCGTTGTAGGTCCTTTTTACAGGCTGAAATTTCAGAAGTATTTTATTCCAGAAGAACATCTGGACATGGGCAAGATAATTTGGACTGACTTGAGGCTATGGTGGGATTTCTTCTTTACGCTTCCAAAAGTATCTTCCATAATTCAACTGACTGTATAATTCTAGGATACACACACCCTCCTGTTGGACTTGGGATGAGATGTTTTCAATCATTTCTATGTTTGTATAGAAATAGCATCATTTGTGGACATCCTGATTTATCTATGACTCTCCTTCAGTTCTCTGAATTTTACCAATGAATCCTGTACTCAAGAAAAAAGAAAAAGGAATTTTTGATGAACGTAGAAGTATCATCCCATCCCACCAGATTCTTCTCCTATTTAATAACTCAGTCATGATGTATGCTTGGATTCCAGTGGACCAAAGTGCAAAAAAATTGCTGGCTGGCTCCACGATTTCAAAAATTCTTAGGGGAAATAAATATCTGGTTTTTTTTTATATTTCATCCTGATAAAAGCTTTAAGACTTCTAAGTACATTCAAAATTCCCAAAGTTCTAAGAGTTTAAAGGAAATTTTCATCTATCTCTTCCTTAAGAAATAGAAGACCAGAACCTTAGGTTCAAGGGACTCCTATTTGTCAAGTGTTTGCTGTTCTTTGGTTGTTGTTCTTGACCTCCCAAGACTCTTTTATTTCCCTTAAAACAAATAAATAGAATATACTGATTTTGCCTATATCTCTATCCTCTGATTGAGAAAAGAGCTTCTCTCCCTATGGATCACTTTTCATCAGTTTTCTGCATCTGAGATGTTAGTGACATAGACAAAGTTGTACTCGGGTTCTGGGAAATTCTTTAGTTTTCAACATATAAATTAGCCAAATTCTAAAAAGGACATAAAAAAGCACTGTTGGCCAATTTCTGCTCTTGGGGAATATCTAATGTATTCCCTTTGTTCCATGAATTTATTCATTCCAAACACAAGACTTCCTGTTATACAGAGCATCACAAAGTATGATCTGCTCTTTTTCTTGTTCTGTTGATTCTTTGCCATTCTGGTATCCACATCTTTGGCCCTGTCCACCTGAGGGATCTTACTAAAATTTGGCTTTCCTATGCCTCAAAAGGTTCTTACATCTACCCAAGAATGGAACAGAAATGGAAAAATTATATCCTAAGAAGTACTGACAGCTCCTCTGTTCTGCCTCTCTTATTTGGCAAAAGCGAAAGGATTTTCTTAAATGTACTTCTTTTCATCAATGTAGAATACTGATGAGATAGCTAAGTGAGTATAAATTATCAAGAGAAATGTGGACACTAAGCTCCCTGAGAGAAGGAACCATGCCCTCTTTATACACTCCATAGTGTTTTTCTTGATGCCTCAGATGTAGTAGGCATGCATATACATATACATGCACACACACACACACACACACACACACACACACACACATATATATATTCACATATACATGTATATTATCTGAGACACTGTGGAAAAAAGAATCAAACTTTAGGGCTGGAAAGGGTCACAAAGAACATTTAATCTGACTCCTCATTTTATAGATGGGGAAACTGAGGCACAGAAAAAGTAAGTGATTTGCTCAAGGTCACAATCAATCAACAAGCATGCATTATGTGTTTACTATGTGGTAGACATGCTTGTAGGTATGGGGCACATGAAGACAAAGAATAAAACAATTTTTTTCTCTCAAACAGGGACCAGAACTCAGCCCTCCATGAGCCTATTCCAGGGTCTTCCCCACCAAACAAACCATGCTGCCTTCTAATTCTTCAGCAAGGTAGGTGTTATTGAGGACACTCATTTAGTCTTCATTTTTTGTCTTAGGTTTGTATTTGAATTGCTCTTTTCCTCACTGTGAGGCATAGCCTCAGCCGGGGGCCGGGTTCCCTTGTAGTACATTTCTTTAATAGAGAGCTAGTTTAGAAAAAAGCAATTTTTGAACACATCATGTTAGAGTTCACATGAGTCAGGCCTTTGTCCCAGGAGCAGATGCATTTGGCAAAGAAAAATGAACTAATGAGATAGTAAGAACACTCCAGAATCCTGTCCTCCTTCTCCCAAATATGGCGCAGCTCACCTCAGAAGCCTCACAAATAATAATCACTTTGGGCCACCATG